TTGTAATAATTATAATAATTTTATTGTTATATATCATTATGATAATTGAGGATTAAATTATTAAAAATTATCAAATTATTACAACATCATTGTAATAATTGAAGATTTAAAAAATTTATATATATAAAACTAAAATTTGAGTACTGGCAACATCATTGTAATAATTAAACAATCTTACAATAACACTTTATTTGAGTGAGAAATGAGAGCTACTTCTCATTAGTACATGTGATTCTGGCATGTTTTTAAAAATCAAATATATGAAGTGAACACATCTCATAAAAGTTAAAAGTATATATATATATCATTATAACTATCATATAGGTGTAACTACATATCATAGTTAAATATGAAATATCATGGAAATGTGATGTAAAGAACAGTTAGGATTATTTTTCTGTTTATACTTCTATTATGGAAATTATCAAATTATCACTGTTAAGTATTTAAAACTGCATTATTCATAGTTTATAGAGTATATCTAATTGTGTTAATCATGTGTATATACATAACATAACACACAGACACATACATTTTGCATGCTTGGAATCTGTTCTGATGGTTGCTGGTTTGCCCATTTTGAGCCTCTTCTTTATTATTAAAAAATCAACTGTTATGAAAGCAATCACATGTCCTCAGTACTTCTGTTTTAGCCCAGGCAGAATCATGATGGCGAATTACTTTAATATTTCTCCCACATTCTGAACCCATAGGATGTGTTTTCTTCTTGACTCTGAGACAACTCTTGTAACATGGTTTTCTCTACTTTTATCAATGTTATACTGTTCTCTAGTTTATTATATTATTCCAATAGAATTTTATGAGCATATATATGGTTATTAGATAACAATAAAAAAACTGCTTTTTAAATGTAGAGTATATCTCCCTGAGTGTGAGCATCAAGACTTAATTATTTTCTGTAGAGTGCTTGTGATGTGATGCATAATAGACATGTCCCAAGCTAAAAAAAGATTTTTATACATGCATACAAAATGACAATTAATCCTTCTTGACCCTCCCTGGGACAATTGTTTTTCTTCTCCCCATTCTGATTCCATGAAATTTCCAAGAATGCAGCCTCACTTAAAGAGTTTATATGAGAGTAGAGAGGTTGTCTCTTCCATCCATCCATCTTCGCACCCTAACATGCACTCTACTGCATCCTTCCCATTGCTCTTATTTCTCACCTCTCCCAGCTCAGTTTATTCTAACTTAAACAATTTTGTTTTAGATATATGTACACGAACATTCTTTTAACTCTTCTAACTTCCCATTCCATTTTTAACACTTTCTTAATTACTTAGGAGAGGAAGGATCTCTCACTCCCTATATTTATGATAATTGTGTACCAGAGGGTAACCAAAACTGTGCTGAGAAGCATATGGAATAACAATAGTAATATATGTTTAAAAAAACTAAAAACCTACATTTTAGGGTGAAAAATCAACAATTTCAAAAGCCTTTACATATATACCATAACTTCTACATAAACTTTTCTATCTCCTGTCTTACCCGCACATGTATCAGCTTAAACATAAGTGAGCAAATAAATCTCCAATAATACCATAAAGTTGTTAAAAATAATTAATAAATTCCTATTGAAATAATATTGTTCTACCAATTTGGCTTAAAAACCTCTACTACACAGTTATGTCAGGCAGCTAGTAATATGCTTAACATTACTGATAATCTAGAGAAGGTTCAGATCCCAGGGTTGAGTCTTATCTCTCTTAGTTCAGCCCGGGGATACTGGGAAACTCACTTAAGCTTTCAGAGTTCTGCTTCTCTTGTAACCAAAAGACTCTAGCATGGAACTCAACCCATCTAGTTGTAACCAGTAATAAAGGTGTTTGTAAATAAAAGACAGCATCTCTACATTCTATTTTAAAAGCTGAATTTAATTAAAGATATGTTTGGTAGAAGTGACATGAAATATAATAAACTTTATAAATAAAAGTACTATTATTTTTATAGGTTGGGTCAAATAGCCTTTTGTGAGTTGACCCTTGTTAATCCATTCTTATTCTACCTAACATGGTCATCTTTCTAATACACACTATTTATCAGGTAATTTAATATCTGTCAATGACTCTTCTTTGTTAACGGAATAAAGTTCATATCCTTGACATCCTGACTTAATTCCCACTAACCTGTGATATGTATTTACCGTGAAATACTTGGAGCTTCTTAAAACATACACGTATGTTCAACTTCTAGGCCTTTATTAAGTTTGGTTCCTATTGCCTGACTTCTCTTTGCCACTTAGTCAATCTTGATAAATCCTATTTATTTTTTAGTTCTTAATTTAACTTAAATGTCACCACCACTTGCAAAGCTTTCCTGCAGTTGGCTGTATGTCTCAAATTTATCCCTATTTCTATCTTTTTAACATTGCACTGTCATTAATACAGTTCTGTAACCATACCCGAATATACTGAAAATTGAGATGTTTACTTAGTCTTTCTAAGATTCTATTTTTTTAACTATAAAGTGAGAATAATAATAGATAAAGGTGATGCGCTAATCAATATCTTGCTACTCAGTTCACAGAGATATTAGCTATCCCGATAATTATGGTGATAATCATAATGATGATGATGAAAATGTTCAATAAATATTTGTTCAATAAAAAGATGATCAAATAAAATAAATTCACTACTAATAAAAATTATTTCTATAGTACCATGTAATCTAAATTCTAAATGACTTGCTCAAAAGCAGCTCTTGGAACAGAATACATTTATTGAAGATGGATTATTACTACTACATTTCTTTGGCGGTATCTAAGGGAGCCAAATTTTATGAAGACAATGAAGATGATGGTAATGATGTCAAAAAAGAAAACTTTCATTCCTCAATAAGATGGCATCCACTTTAACAACCTCCTGTCTAGTCATTTCTCATTGGCCTAATACCAATCTTAGAGAAAGATAGAAAACGTAGGGAATTTCTCTATAGATGAAAAAAGCCAACAAGAGCATTCAAACCCAAAATATAACCTAGACTACTTAGCAGTTGAAATACAATGTTTTAGGTTTAATTCTTAAAAAGCACGTTAAGTATACTTATTGAAAAAATATCAAAAATCTGTCAGTGAATTAATAAAAGAGGAAAACCACTGTTTGAACAGTTATAGGAGGACATCATAAACCTTAATTAGTGGATATTAACAAGTGAATATATAACTTTCTTTAACAAGAAGGGGATTTAAGTTAAAAAGAAGGGGATTTAAGTTAAAAAGAACTTGAAGAGAAAAAATATTCTTCTTACAAATTGTGTTCTATATGAAAAGAAATTGCACACTAACAGGTCTTGAAGTATTTTTTTCAATGGTAAATATTTTCAGTCCTTCAGCTGGCTATTGACTTAGGCAGCAGAGAAAAAAAAAAAAAACCCAACTGTATTGGATAATGAAAGATGTGTTTTTAATATAAATCATTAAAAAACATGATTATAAGCTGGTTGGCTACTAGAGGTCCAAATTGTGAAAAATTGTGATGTTAATGATGGTAATCATGACAGCTGAAAAATACCTAAATAACAAAGAAACATTGCTACTTATGAAGTACTATGGTACAATTTGTAACGATTAGCAGATAAGCACACTAATATGTTTGACACACTATTTTGAAGGTCACTCAACTATCAACTTGCCATAATGCCATTCAATTAAATACACAATAAAGATCTAAGGTTATTTATGGAAAGAATTTTATAATGCTTGTAGAATAGTATATTACAAATCCCAGCTGTATGTACAAGCAGAAATGCCTAATTTAATGCACCATTAAGCAACTGTAGCTTTATTCTACATTTTTAAAACATTAATTGTAATGAGGTTTAGCCTTACTATTAAATTATTTAAAGAGCTTTTCAAGTTGAATCATGAGATACAACTTGTTCATGCTATAAGCAAACACATGTAATATTAACAATGTACAATATCCTGGCTCAATTAGAAAAAGTCCATGTTATTTTAAATACATTTAGAAATATCACACCACACAGTTCTAATTTGAACTTGCCATTTAATTATATTTTCAAATTAATTTATATGACTTGAAATTTTTTTCTCTCTCTTTTACACAAAATGTTGTTATATCGACCCAGTTAAAACTAGATTCTACTCAAAATAAAAGAGTGAATAAAGAAAAATTGAGTAATGTTTGAGGAAATAGGAGTGGTGGTGGTGGTGGTGGTGGTGGTGGTGGTGGTGGTGGAGATGACAGACAAGAAATCACTTTCATTTGATTATCAAGTATTGTTATGTTTATTAAGTCAATGGCTAACTTCTCTAGAAGTACCCTTTCCAGCATTCTTGCTCAGGGCTCTAGCTTAAAGTTCTATAAATGGATCTACTTTTTCACAAAAGAATGCATTTTCAAAATTCGCTTCTCTCTCCTTCCCTCCCTCCTTCCCCTTCTCCTCCTCCTTCTCATCCCTCTCTCCCTCCCCTCCTCTTTTCCCCTCCCCCCTCCTTCTTTC